ACCCACAAATGTCTACTTAAATTATATATATATATATATATATATATATATATATATATATATATATATATATATATATATGTATATATATATATATATATATATATATATATATATATATGTATATATATATATATATATGTATATATATATATATATATATATATATATATATATATATATGTATATATATATATATATATATATATATATATATATATATATATATATATATATATATATATATATATATATATATATATATATATATATATATATGAACAAAACAGACCATGATTCAATCTCTCCAGCGGGCCATCAAGCAAAACACGCTGAACAAAAGTAGCGCATGAGTTTAGTGGAGCAGAACATAGCACGTTACCTCCCTTTAGTTGAGTTGGGCAAGGGAAGATTATATCACGTGATTGGTGAAAGGAACAAGTAGAGCATGCAGATAGGCTGAAGTTGACGAATCATATTTTAACGAGGTTGTCATTGACACATCTCGTAATTTGACAGGGTTGTCATTGACACATCTCGTAATTTGACGGGGTTGTCATTGACACATCTCGTAATTTGACGGGGTTGTCATTGACACATCTCATAATTTGACAAAGCTGTAATTGACACATCGTGATTTCACAATTTTTATTGACATATCATAGTTTGACGATGCTGTAATTGACACCTCTCGTAATTTGAAAATTTTATAATTGACATTCTAAAAGATTTGACACAACTCTCAAATATTAAAAATATAAATCAAAGCTCGTGGAATTCTTTAAAAAAAACACAACCAAAGCAAAGATGTAAAAAAATAAAAAATTAAAATTTCCAATATTTCTTTTATTTACAATAGAACTTCAGATCCCTATAAAAGGCTTGCCCCCACCACCAACTTTAAGTGATTTACGCCACTGTAACTCCGCTTCTGTGCGTTGCATACGGCGGGAAATATGTGTGCAAAAATGTATAATTTGTATAGACGGTAAACCATCCTTGACGATAGATATGTTTTAACACACGATTGCAAGTTTTTTGGAGGTTTTTATTGATGAGGTGAAGGGTCTGGATTAAAGGTAGTTTGAGGGTGGGGGGCAGGCATTGGGTAGGTGACTGAGTTGAGCATATCTGATTGGCTTTCCAGCTTAGTCTCAACGAGTTCACTTGCTCTAGAGTATATAAGACATACCACACGGTGAGATCAACAGTGGACTTGGATATTTGAAATCATTTTTTTTTCATCCGTTAGTACATTAGGAAGAAATAATCTAAAATATATTTACAGACATACTGCTCAGGATGTTTTTACAAACAGTTGGACTAGTGGTATCAGCTGTGTTGCTGTTTCATGGGTGCTCTGCTGATGGTGAATACAATTTAATTACATGCATTCATTGTGTATATATATATATATATATATATATATATATATATATATATATATATATATATATATATATGTGTGTGTGTGTGTGTATATATATATATGTGTGTAATATATATATATATATATGTGTATTTATATATATATACGTAAAAATAAAGTTTCTCTATGTGTGTGTCTTGATGTTAGCATAGTGAATTATAGCTCACATTCGCAATTCAGCTGCCTGAATAAATAAAGGTGTACTCACCCCACCAGTGGTCAATAAACAATGAACAGCGCCCTAGAATGTGTAACTGGTATCCTAGTTTTGAAATAAGCGTATGCGTAATTTTCAGGGCGGACTATTTTACAGCTAATTACCTGATTGAGCATTCGCCACACAGGGGAACATTGGGTCTTAAGGAGTTTAAAAACTAAGCAATAGTAAATATTAAAGAAAGGCTTGGTAGGATGGTAGAGCTGATGAATGCTAACCCGAAAATCTCGAGTTCGTATTCCTACTCTCGAGTGTTTGTGATGTCCCTTTGTCTGTCAGGGTGACTTGGGCGTACATAAAGAGAGCCGCTCAAAACCGAGTATGTAGTGGTGTAGCAGCAGCCTTTTAGATTACAGAATCCGGTTAAGATACAGGTTCAATTAATTCTTTAATCAATGTTTAATGTCCGTTTCCGGTTAAATTGTCATATCAAGATAAAAATCTGGTTTCGGATATATTTAATTTTCCCCATGAATTTCGTTCATATTAACGTTTCGGCTCCCTTTAAATTCCTGTACCGGTTAAATTTCTGTTCCCAGTTGAATTTCCGTCTCCAGATGAAGTTTCGTTTTTTCTTTATTAGTCAACGGTTAAATTTCAGTTTTTGGCTAAATTAGCATCTCCCGAAAATTTCCGGATCCAGTTCAAAAGCAGGTTCCGGTTAAAGATACGATTTTATGTTGAATTTATGATAAATTCTAAGTATTTTGTTTGACTTTCAGATCAATGCAAGTCCTACAGTGATATAGACTCCAAGCCGAATCCTGTTGCTGCTTCCACCCATCATGTAAGTTGAGCGCTATCCTCATTGTTATCAGTTAATGTTGCTGATCCGATAGTTCCGAGTTCAAACCCAAGGGCAGATGAGGCTCGTCAGCTGGAGACAGCATCTCATCTAGGAGAGAAAACTCCGACATTTTTTTCATAAAAAACGTTTTAATAACAAGCTTTTATGTTGCATTGCACTAAATAGTCGAAAATAGATTATACATTACTAGTCAATATTTTAGTGCATTATTACATAAAAGATTGTTATTAAAACTTTTTTTATGAATTTTTTTTTAGTACTTTACATGTTTTATTTAAAATAGTTACATGACTAAATAATTATCATTAATTTTTTTTTTAAAACCCACGTTTTCTGATTGAACTAAAAAGTAGAAAATAAATAATATACATCACAATAATGCAAGCGATAACTCTACTATAAGCGATCGCAAACTGCGTGCGCATTATGACAAAAAAATGAAAAACGTGGGGCGACGAAGTATTAGAAACTGTAAGAAAATCACGAAGCAGCAGATTTTCGGATTCGATCTTATTCAAGCTTCTTTTGATACTCACCTTCTTCCATAATTTTTGGTCGTTTAGGAGGATTTTCCAATCTGTATCCTGCATTGCGCTTCTTCTGATACTTCTGGCGTGCCTTTTTCAATCGACGTTTCTTCTGTGTTGCCGTTTCTTTCACCATTTTGCCCTCGCGTGCAAACCATTCGACCATCAACATTCTACTTCCGGATCAGTCAGATTTGCATAGGTTTGTACACAAACACCGCGTGACCACTACTCAGCCAATCGCGTGCTCGCTCCTTCATGATTTTTTTTTCATTTGTTTTTCAGTAAGCCAAAAGAGGGAAAGTACGAACCTTAATTTTTGGTCTAAAATGATCAATAAAATTTTCCCATGGATCAATTTAGTAATAATAATAATTGAATATTGTATTGTCATCTGAAACAAAGCTTCCCTGAAAATTTCAGCGCGCTAGCTAACTGCGAAGTGCCCGAAATTTCGATCGCAAGATTTGATGGAAAAAAAGACGCGAAAGCAAGTTAAAGAAAACGTGGAAAAATCTTTGCGCACCTTTTGAACGCGATGGAGCTCTATTGAACGTGATGATGCGTGTCGTATAGCGCGGAATAGTTTGATGAGACAGCCAACTAATTTGGACAAATTTTTTATTAATTCATAAAAAAATTAATCAGGCGACCAATTAAGTCAAATTTAATGTCATGTTGCATTGTCATCATGCCTTGACCCAAGTACCAACTACGAACCGTATCTATCAGATAGACGTGTCTGCAATTCCGCTCGGGCGTTTCGATCTAGACAGACAGACTGACGACAGACTGACGACTGACGAAAGAGGAAGTGAGTTAAATAAAAGCTTGTAAAAATAAACCGGGAGTGATCTCCCCTAAACTTTCTCGAATATTCTTATATAAAATAACAGGGGATGGGAACTCGGGCTATAGACTTCTAGACATGATTTTTAATCCATTTTAAATACTTAAAGTTTTAAAAATAGAATAAAATCTCGTAGACAAATTAATTGCACACCAAGTGAACGCGAATAAAAAAGCGCATAATAGTGCGCAATATTATTAGTACTTTAAAAATTTACATTAGTTTTTTGAGAAATCGGAAGTAGCGTAAATTACTACTTCCGGTCAACGGAAATTACTCAAAATTTAACAGAAGGTAGAGAATTAGATCTTTTACTTACATGTGAAATTTAATTTATCTATCTGAAATAGTACTCAAGTTATAGGCTTTTGAAAAATTCAAAGTAGAAAAAGTACCACTTCCGGTTGTCGGAAATAGCTCAAAAGTTTATACGGATCTACGATTTTGATAAAATACTTATATATGAAATTTCATCAACCTAGCTGTAACGGTACTCAAGTTATCGTGTTTACACACGGACACACAGACACACAGACACACACACACACAGACACACAGACATACGGACAAGATTGCAAAATTATGTTTTTCCGTATCAGTGAGATGCAAAACGTCGAGATTTGCAAAAATCTCGATTTTTTTTTTTTTTGCACGATTACAAGACTTTCTCTATACTTCGTATATACGAGAAAGTAAAAAAAACGGTACAGGACCCCGTTTACGCCAGGATTACCTCTGGTTATACTTTCAGCAACGTTGACACCGATTATGTATAGAAGTCACAACAAAATTGAACTGATCATTGCTATACAATTTTTTTAATCCCACTCATCTCTTGCTCACTAGATCACAGTTTATTCGATAATGTGCTGCTTACTTTAGATTTATATTGGGCATGGTTTTTTTTTTTTAACTAAAAAAATTAAACTAGATTATGTACGTAAACAAGTAAATGTTATTTCCAAAAAAAACAACCAAATTTTACATGAACTACATCGAATATGTTCGAAACTGGTGAATCTATTTTTAGATGCTACAAACATTCACAAAAAATCAATAAGAAATAAATTAAATAATTATTATTTTAGTAATTATTCGAAATCACATACAAACTTTTTTACACTTATGATCTGCAATTTGTTTTAATTTACTTCCATGCACAGGAATGCTTTTTGGCGTGTTTGACGAATCCTAACTGCCCCTATTACCACTGGGGTCCTACTTGTGTAATAATTTTGGCAACTTCGCCGATCGACACATCCTCAAACGAACGGGCTTCGAGTGTAATTATTTGTGCTAATGACCCCTGTAAGTAACTAATGCTCTGGCTTACAGTAATTACTAGAATGATTCCAAAATAGAATCAGGGTACTGCCTGAATAAGGATTTCAATACCTTCATTGTAATTGTTATATTTAAAATAGTTATAGTGGCTATAATTAAATTGAATTATTAGCCGATTTTGTGTATTATGTTAACAAATATCAGGCTATCAAAACCTGCGATGCAGTTTTATCAGTCTGAGTATTACATCTTGGTCCCCCGACAGACTATATGAAACCTCACCACAGATGGGCTGTCCGTACCTTAAAATGCAAAAATTAAAAGCGGGAGTGATCCCCCCGAAACTTTCTCGAATATTCTTATATAACACTACAGGGGATAGCAACTCGGAATATAAACATGATTTTCAATACATTTTTAATTACTTAAACTTTTTAAAATAGAATAGAATCTCGAAGAAAAAAAGAATTGCGCACCATGTGATCGGCAAACAATATATGTATAGCAGTGTTTTTATGCGAAATCGGAAGTGGCGTAAATTACTACTTCCGGTCAACGGAAATTACTCAAAATACAACAGGCGGCAGAGAAGTAGATCTTTTACTTACAAGTGAAATTACATTTATCTATCTGAAACAGTACTCAATTTATAGGATTTTGAAACATTGAAAGTAGAAGAAGTTTCACTTACGGTTACCGGAAATCGCTGAAAAGTTGAAAAAGAACCACAAATTTCATTTAATACTTATATATGCAGTTTTATTAGCGTAGCTGTAACGGTCTTCAAGTTATCGTGTTCACAGACACACATTTACACACACATACATACAAACATACACCCCAACATACGGACAAAATTTGCAAAACTATGTTTTTCCGACCCAGGGAGGTGTAAAACGTTGAGATTTGTAAAAATCTCGTTGTTTTTTTTTTTACACGATTACAATACTTCCTCTATACTACGTATACGCGAAAGTAAAAAGTACATAACTACCACTGTTCGACTCCTGGTAAATTCATTCCATGGCTGCGTCTATGAAGTAACTTTTCAGTGTTGATCATTTACAATTTACACTGGAAAGACGATTTTTAAATTCCAACAATCAACATTGTACCTATGTCTACACCTACCTATGCTTGAAAAAAGGTCTACCTACACGGAAGACGGGCATCCTATTGCGAAGTATTAGAGATAATTTATTTACAACTAATAAATTAGCTTTGTTGTTATATTCGAAGTCGTTTATTTTTTATATTTTGTATTATTGTATGTACACTTAGCTCAAGTGCTAAGGGTTTAGAGGATTTTATTTTCGGGGGGGGGGTGGGGGGGGGGGGGGGGGTAAGTATTTTCTGTAGATATTCGGGCTTGAAGTTTTGTGGTGGATATATATATATATATATATATATATTTTGTGGTGGATATATATATATATATATATATATATATATATATATATATATATATATATATATATATATATATATATATATATATATATATATATATATATATATATATATATATATATATATATATATATATATATATACATATATATATATATATATATATATATATATATATATATGTATATATATATATATATATATATACATATATATATACATATATATACATATATATGTATATATATATATATATATATATATATATATATATATATATATATATATATATATATATATATATATATATACATATGAGAGAGAGAGAAATATATATATATATATATATATATATATATATAGTAATTTATTTTTCTCCAGCACATTGCATATATATATATATATATATATATATATATATATATATATACATATGAGAGAGAGAGAAATATATATATATATATATATATATATATAGTAATTTATTTTTCTCCAGCACATTGCTCAGCATATGCTGTTGTCATTAACAATGAACCAATATCTGTCACTCATGCGGTAGGTGTAAATTATGATTTTCATTCTATTTCATATTCCTCTTATAAAGAGCATAGGGGAAACTGTGTTTGATACTATGTCTGATGCCGTTTTAGCTAGATGAACAAAATATCCTATACAATTTTGAGATACTATTCCAGGGTGCTTTCATGTTGAGGCTATTCTGAAAGCGTAAAAGGGTATTATTTTATCGATTTCAGTTTCTCGAAAACCTAATTAATTTTAAAAATTTATATTATACTAGATCACCCATTATCCTTTGGATAACTATAGGTTCAGTGGTTATGCATAAATGACGTATCGCTTGTTTGACGATTTATATCTTTCTCCTCGCTTTCCCCTACTGTCACACATAGCAAAAAAAAGCCGATGGGTCGGCATGGTCGAGTCGCTAAAGCCCATGTTTGCTAAAGCGAAAAGTCTAAAGTTTGAACCCTCGGGCAGATAGGCTCTTTGGTTTGGGACAGCAACTGCTGCCTTGTAGTTTGTTCTTGGTTGAACAAAGGCTATGGAATCAAATCCAAACAGAACAGCAGACTGAAATCTGATTTGAATGCCTCAACGGCGCATAACCAGATGACACGTATACTTAATTGTGTACTAGGGGACCCCTTCCAACATTACAATTAAGAACGAAGAAGAAGACAAAAAGCCGGACCCAACTACCCCCTCGCCCCACGACTAAAAAGACATCACACTTCAGATACCATGTTTTGATATTTTTAAAACACCGATTTCGAATAACGTGTGCAGAAGACATTGTAACTTATAAGTTTAGGTCACAAAAGCTTTATCACATAGATCTAAAAATAAGTTACACTTCAGCTTTTAAAAACATCGTGTTATTTCTATAATATTTTCTCAGCTCGAACCTAATACGAATAACAACTGAATTAATTATAAATTGAAAGTTTGTGTGTTTCACATCTCTACTTTGGGCTTCATAGTGGGCAAACATGCACCCAACAACTGCGACCTAAGAAATATAACGCCTAAATCCTTTACATTTAAATACGTTTTAGAAAACAAGGCCACTTCTAAATATACATGATTGGTAACGCATTGATGAAATCCTCTTAAAATAACACGTAAGCCTTTCTTCTATGAAGACGGGTACGCTAGTTAACTTATATACATCACATATATTTTTTTAAAGAAAATAACAGAATCTATTTTTAAATTTTCTTGAATAATGTCAAAATCGTACTTATTATATTTCATTGCTTTTTAAACGACAGGAGTGTTCCCGCCAATCACTAGAAAAACCTGGTTGTATTGGATACCTTTATTCAGATGGGTCTTGTATACTGCAGTTTGTCGATGGAGTAAAATTAGATACGAGTAGCAATGCGGAAGCAAATCCTTTGATTAGCTGCGACAGGTGTAAGTATCTCAGTTGTTTAATTGTTTTATTTTTTTAAGGCGTCCAGTTTAGCGCCATTCCTGCGAAGTTATATGTATTCATCTAATGACTTGCCCCATCCATCGCCATCTTCTTTTTGCAATGAATTGGGAAATTGCTTCCATTTTAATCTCTCCAAGCAATTTATCGTTTGAGATGGTGTTAGGTCAGTGTAAGCCTTTTATCCTCCACAAGCACTTAATTTGAAAAAAGTCCAGCGATCTGCTGGCGGCGGTTGTTCCAGCATTTGCTGTCATACAGTAGGACGCTAAGTCATTACTTTAAAAAGTCTACGTTTAATCTTAGAGGAGATTACTTTAAAAAGTCTGCGTTTAATCTTAGAGGAGATTACTTTAAAAAGTCTACGTTTAATCTTAGAGGAGATTACTTTAAAAAGTCTGCGTTTAATCTTAGAGGAGATTACTTTAAAAAGTCTGCGTTTAATCTTAGAGGAGATTACTTTAAAAAGTCTGCGTTTAATCTTAGAGGAGATTACTTTAAAAAGTCTGCGTTTAATCTTAGAGGAGATTACTTTAAAAAGTCTGCGTTTAATCTTAGAGGAGATTACTTTAAAAAGTCTGCGTTTAATCTTAGAGGAGATTACTTTAAAAAGTCTGCGTTTAATCTTAGAGGAGATTACTTTAAAAAGTCTGCGTTTAATCTTAGAGGAGATTACTTTAAAAAGTCTGCGTTTAATCTTAGAGGAGATTACTTTAAAAAGTCTGCGTTTAATCTTAGAGGAGATTACTTTAAAAAGTCTGCGTTTAATCTTGGAGGAGATTACTTTAAAAAGTCTGCGTTTGGTCTTGTGGGAGATTACTTTAAAAAGTCTGCGCTTGGTCTTGGAGGAGATTACTTTAAAAAGTCTGCGTTTAATCTTAGAGGAGATTACTTTAAAAAGTCTGCGTTTAATCTTGGAGGAGATTACTTTAAAAAGTCTGCGTTTAATCTTAGAGGAGATTACTTTAAAAAGTCTGCGTTTAATCTTGGAGGAGATTACTTTAAAAAGTCTGCGCTTGGTCTTGGAGGAGATTTTCTTCCATCGCCATGTTTGTTTTTGCATAAATAAAATACGTGGCTCATTTTTCTGATAGACCATTTGATGATGGCGTCTTTAAACTCAAGTCGCAAAGACAAGCAAACAAAAAAAGTGACTTTTTGTACTAAATAAAAGAATACAGTTAAAAAATATCTTTTAAATATAGTCTTTTGTATCTAACAGTTAGCGTGTCATATATTCTGAGTAAGGTTGTTGCTAAAGACTCTTCTAAATATTGTTAACTTTGCGAAAGCACACAAAAATATAAGGTTGAAAACGATGTTGAAAATTTGGAAACATATTAAATAATTGTAGGAGAACATTTTAACTTACTTATATTCTTCATTGTCGCTAAGCGCCATAAATATAAAAGAATTTTAAAAATATCTTTCAAACCATAGTTCCTGATGTGACAACCACAGCATCGCCTACTACAGTAACAACCGCCGCACCAACTACTACGGTAACAACCGCCGCACCAACTACTACGGTAACAACAGCCGCACCAACTACTACGGCGAACAATACACCAACGCCTACTACGACCAAAAAGCCAAGTAACGTATTTTACTCTAGTAAAACTCAATAAACTGTAGCGATAAGTGTCAAATTATTTTGTACACATTTGTGAACACATTTTAATCCATTAATTTTTAAATACATATACATAATATATGTATCAACTTATTTTTCAGTTTCTGGAATAACCGTTACACTTTTTATTTAATTACATTATATGGCTAAACTAGATTTCTTACTCATTTAATCTGAAACATATACTAGTTATAGAATTTTAGGTTTTTAGAATTAACTTAAAAATAATTTACGTTTAATTGTAGGGAAACAATGCAGGAAAGGCTATGGGGTGAATTTTCTTAAAGGTAGGTTAACTTCAAATATTATTTTTATTGATTCATTCTTCTTGGTTCAGCTTTACCAAAGTCTAGTTGACCTGCACTATACTACATCTCTCCTGTCTTTTGGTTTATTTTTTAATATTGCCTAACTTGCGTCATAACATATCCCGTGCCTTTAGGTTTGACATCAAATCGTTTTAACTCATTCTGAAAAATGCCGTAGATATTAGAGGAAGTTATAAAAATAAAAATGTAAATACACATCGATAAAATAAACGTATATTTTCTTCAGTTGTTACATTAAAAGCGATGTTATTTAGGAGCTTGTTATCAAAATGATCTCATATTTCTTTCACTAAATTAATTAGTGTAATAACACGAGATTTTTTATAAAGAATTGTGTAGTAAGGTCCCGCTGCTAGAGCGTTTTATTCTAAGATCTGTAACACCGAATTTATTTTCAAGAATATCTTAAAAAACAATAAAATAGGATTTTGCAAATGTGTAGAATACAACACATATTAATATTTGCTTTTTCTCAAACTCTTATTGAAAACATTTTCTAGAATATTATTGTATTTGTTCTAACGTAACTAAAATCTTAGTCTAATTTTTAGATTTTCTTAAACAATTCGGTCAAAAGTTTAAAACATTTGTATTCAAATAAAAAAGAGTACAGTTATTTAATAACACATGTGTGAAATATTATAATTATTATTATCTTATTAAAGATAGCTCTAAGCCTCGAAAGAAGTACAGTAAAATTACTCTAACATTAACTCGCGGGTTACAAAATCCGTGGCAATTTGTGATAATACGATATTAATATAAGTTTACAATAAGATATGTATTTGACTAAGACAATTTTAAAAATTATATTTAATCGTATTATAACATGTGTTTCCAAAAGGAATCATTGAAGGCAAAAGAGTTCATCGATATTAAAATATGGAGTCCTGAGCTGATGTTCTTCGTTTTTGTTTTTTAATTAAAACTTCCACAAATCGTATGTTTTCTGCTTTGTTAAGATAAATAAAACTAAATAAACTGAAATTTTAAACAGACAATTGTAAAATGACTTTTCTTTCATTAAAAATTTCAAAATAAACTTGTATTCAACAAATGTAGCCATTGTTGTTTGTTTAATTGCTAACATTGTTTTATTTTGTAAACAATATGCACTCTACCATAACTCACTTATATTGAATTATTATGGGGATAATTTAAAAAACTGAAAATAGACAAATGTTTTTATGGATTTCGCTTAACTCAGAAAGGGGTGGAAGGTATGACCAGACTGTTTAGAGTATCCAAACATCCGACCCCAAAAAAAAATTCTAATACAGTTGTATTTGTTCTACATTACCTAGCACACGTTGTTTCGTAAAAAAAAAATAAAGCAACAACAAATAACAAACTACATGTTGGGGTACTGTTAGGCAGCTAAACTGTAAGCCTAGCCTGATAATGATCCAAGAAACAAGAGAATTGAAAGTAGACCACACATTTTAAAGGCGAAATGACGTGTTTATTTGACATTTGATATTTTAAGCGCATGTATTTAAATGCCTTCCTTTGTAGGCCTTTTGATTTATACAGATACTAAAAAAGTTTAAAAACAATTTCTTAAAATCTGAATAATACTTTGTAGTCCCAACCAATGTTCCCTCTTAGGGGAAAAATATCATGTGCAACATGTATTTTGCGTGCGCGGTGTTCTAAAAGTCTTACATGTTATTGAAAACTACTGCGCGGCCGTGCAACTGCGCAGCTTAGAGGGAATATAGATCCCAACTCATGCAGAACGGATAGCACTTACCAGGTAGATTTGAATGCATGACAGCATCGTTCTGCATGAATGAACGCACACAATATTTGAATGAAAGGGCTAGCGAGATATGGGGCGATGGGTCTTTATTTTTACATTGAATCGAGGTAGGCCATTAATCTGAACTGAAGTATCTTTCTACGTAGTTACAAATCTTGATAAACACGTTTTTGTTTTAAGGTCATTACGACCTGCAGTTCTCTCCCCAAACACAACTCCCCACTTAACCCCACTCCATTTTCCTATAACTATTCGGTCTACCAACCTCTGTTATATTCAAAGACAACATTTTAATATTAAGATTGAAATTAACTTTTCTGTATAGTAAGAAAATATTATAAAATAAAAATAATAATTGGGAATACATTACGACGAAAGGAAATCGTAACGCATTCCAAAAAAAAAGTGTACCGCACCCCATCACGAACAAAATGGAATTCATATATATAAAATATATACTTTTACATTTGTCCGCCCCCCCCCCCCCCCCATAAAATATGAAATGCCCCATACCCCCCCCCCTCCGGAAAAAGTCTGAAAGAAACACTGTAAAGGGGGCCTACATAAATTTGTTAATTTTGTTTGACTAACCCTGAAACAGCACAAAACATATTTCAAAAAAAAGTTCATAAAAAATGTTTTAATAACAAGCTTTTATGTAATAATGCACTAAAAAGTAGAAAATAAATTATAGACTACTATTTAAATAACTATAAAGAAAAGCGTGGGTCACTTTAGTATCTATTGGATCCTTTACTAATGTCAATGAAGACACCCACGCTTTTCTTTATAGTTATTTAAATAGTAGTCTATAATTTATTTTCTACTTTTTAGTGCATTATTACATAAAAGCTTGTTATTAAAACGTTTTTTATGAAATTTTTTTTCATTACTTTACATGTTTTATTTACAATAGAGTTACATGACTAAAAACCATTGCACGTCTACTGAACGTGATGGCGCGCCTACTGAAGGTGATGGCGCAGCTATTGAACGTGATGACGCGTGTGGTGTGGTTGGATATACATGCCTATTGATTCGGTCCAAATTTTAATTAATTCATAAAAAATTAATAAGGCATCCAATTAAGTCAAATTTAATTTCAGATTGCATTGTCTTCATGTCTTGACCCACGTGTCAAATGTGAATCGTATCGGTCAAGTAGAAGTGTCCGAATTTTCACTCCTGCGTTTCGATCTAGACTGACGACTGACGACAGACAGAGGAAGTGAGTTAAATAAAAGCTTG